GTACACTGTTAGAAATCTTATAATAAAATAATTGCTAGTTCTATAGATGCGGGGACATTTCTATAAATGAATTACACTGTGTTGCTGATTACTCTTTCCTATAATCCATTTTAAACTTTGAGTGCATAGTATGATATGTGATTTATTTACTCAATCAATTTGTTAATACTTATTTATTTACCTTTAAAACTGACATGCTCACATAGCACCTATTTGTCAGGGTATTTTTTCACTTATTTTAATATAAAAGGTTGAGACCCAATGCCAGAGCAATTTTTCTAGTTTTGACGATAGGTTCATTGAAGATGGACACAACCTCTCCTGTAGCACACCTAAAAAATGGTGCTATGTGTTTGGAGATAGGCAAAAAATATCTGAAACACAATTGCATTTCTGAAACTCTGCAAACAAAACGGGGAATGTTAAAATTAATAAAACTAAAATCCTTTGGGGTAACATATCAGACATTTGAAGAAGAAACTAGAAAAGATCTATTGGTGCTTTCCTTGTGAATAAAGGAATGGTAAAGAGCAAACGTTTTCCGTGTCATACGTTTCCCGCTTCTATGTGGTTAGCCAACTGCATGGATGTTCATTTGTCCGACTGGATTTTGTTGTTCAGCTACAGATGTTAACACTCTCTAATAATTTCTTTGGAAGCAATGGACACGCTCTCATGATGCTTTTGAATGTTCCATCCCATGTTTTGAGCATCCTTTCCATTTTTCCTGTAATTTTCACATCTGTTCTATTTCTCTTCCTTATGCATAAGTCTGTCCTTAGCTGAGATGATAATTGCTTTTTATTTTCAAAATGTCAACCTCATGTTCAAAAAGATACACCAAAATGTAGAATTTTTATTAAATAGGGCAACATAAGCAAGTTTGTGAGCATTAGTCTCTAATGTATGAAATTACATTTTTCTTTCTTTCAATCAATGGCTCATTACATATTGGTACCTATAACTGGATTACTTCATAGAAGCGATTATCTTTTTCTGAAAAATGTTATTTTAGAACCTCCCATAAATTTCAATTTTACTTTGAAAGCTTTCTGTAATGAACAAAAATTGTGTTTTTGAATGTCTCTGTTGCTAGAATATTGAATTTAAGCCTAAATATCCCTTTTCTTTATTTTTTATATAAAATGCTTCTTAATAAGTTCTTGTTTACTGATCAATATATTAGAACTATGATTAGAAGCTATTGTGTATTAATAAAGTACATGTTTTATGTAATTTGCAGTAATATAATTAAGTAGATATACACAAATGAATTTTCATTTGTAAATACATGCAAATATATGTAATGTATATATGTTAAATATATACAAATGTCTTTACATTTTTTAATTCAAAGTCAGATATACAGAGAGGAGGAGAGACAGAAAGGAAGATCTTCTGTCCAATGATTCACTCCCCAAGTGACCACAACTTGTGGAGCTGTGCTGATCCATAGCCAGGAGCCAGAAATTTCTTCCAGGGTCCCAAAGCTTTGGGCCGTCCCCTACTACTTTACTAAACCACAGTCTGGGAGCTGGATGGGAAGTGGGGCTGCTGGGAATATAATGGGTTCCCATATGGGATCCTGGCATGTTCAAGTGGAAGACTTTTTTTCCACTGGAAAGTCAGATATACTGAGAGGCGGAGAACATCATCGGTCTGATGATTTACTCCCCAAGTAATGGCAACAGGCAGAGCTGAGTAAATCCAAAGCTAGGAGCCAGGAGTTTATTTCAGATCTGCCATGCAGGTTCAGGGCCCAAGGCTTTGGGCAGTTTTTATCTGTTTTCCCAGGCCAAAAGCAGGGAGCTAGATGGGAAGCTGGACTGCTGAAATTAGAACCGATGCCCATATGAGATTATGGAGCATGCAAGATAACTTTAGCTCCTAGGCTACCGTGCCAGGCCCTATATTTTATATTTTTAATTTTAGAAAAATGGTACCTGATTTAAATTAACGATTGAAGGAAATCATGCAGAAAGAGGCCCATAGTATTTATTTGAATAAAAATTATAATAAACTATTAGTAGTGGTTTGATTTACAATGTCAATGATTGTCTTGATCGCAATCACTTTTAAATAAACTACATTAATTCTGATTAGGTTTAAATTAGTACACAAAAGCATTGCAAATGCCTACTCTTGTTAATTTTATTAGTTAACTCTAGCAGATTAAAATTTTTTCTTTTTTCCTGGATTATTACATTAACATTATTGTCTTTATAAGTGATACATTTCCTGTATGTGGTCTAACAGATTGGATTCAGCCAATTTGACTTTAATATATTAATTCCCCCCACATAGTCCACAAAATAATGTTTAAGCTATAAGGTTGAACTTTTAAAATACGAAACTTTAAACTATCTTGATGTTGAACGGCTGTGGATATATTTCATCAGTTATTAACATTCTCCTTTCAGGTTAACATCAAGTCAAAAAAAATTTGGAGTACTCTTGACCCTTTTTCCAATGTGTAAATTAGTAATGTAATGGCAATATGCAGACAGGCAAATGGAGACTAAGATCTCTTTGATGAAAACAACATGTGGTAAAGCTTCCCTACTGAGAATCATCTGAATTTGTGAAATAGTAATTTGGAATGTCTATGTTTGCAAAGTATATTGAAAGAAAGAAAATATGGAAAAGACAATCTGCAACAATTTTAGATATGGCCAGTCATTTTCATTTACTATATTATATAATTTTGAAAAAGTTTATGAAGAAGGCAACATTTAAAATCTTCAGAGATGTATATTACTTATTGTGATATGGCTGCGATTTTACTTTGCAAATAACATACTATTTTGCATAAAAATAACATGATTTATAAAAGTGTTTTTCTTAGGAAAGTTTAAATATGTTCAATAGTAGTGTGAAACAAAACATAAAAATATATACATATAAAAATCCCACCAAAAACTTGCAAGCATTATTTTGAGTTATTTCTGTAATCTAATATTATCCTGTATTCTCCTATCTTCAATTTACATTTTATTTGAAAGGCAGCTATAGACAAAGAAAGAGAGAGAGCTCTATCAGGTCATTAAAAGTCCAAAAGGAAACCAGGGTTGGACTAAACTAAGACAAGAGTCCAGAACTCAATCCAGATCTCCTGCACGGATGGCGTTAACCCAGACTTCGTCCATCACTAGCTTATTCTTTCTGCATGCATTAATAGGAGACTAAATTCTAACTAAGCAGGCTACTGTGCTAAATGTCACTCCCCTCCTGTCTTTCTGTGTTTATTAAATATAAGGTTCTAATAATATACACATACATGCCTTACATGTGTGGTATTTAAGCACTTATTCAAGTATTAATACTTTCTTAATATATTTTGTATTCTTTTATGACACAGTTTGATAGGCACTGAGGTCTCCTTTCCCTGCCCGATTTGCTTCCCCCATTTTTCTCCCCTCCAGTCTGATTATGGGTGTCTTTGGTGAACTTTGACAAGTCCTTCATGCTGACACTGAGGTGTCTCCCAACAGTGTAGGAGATTATGAGCCGTTTCGCTGTGAGTCCACCTTTGTGCTGCATGCATGAGGATGAACTTCCCCCTGTTTCCTCCTATGAACATGTTAGTTTCTACTACACTTCTTCTATGCATCACCTTAAGTACAGAGCATCACAGGGGAAAATGGCGAACCTTCATCTTCATGAAGTTGACAAACAAGTAACAAAGGTATTACTATGACACTAGGGTGATGAAATGAAGTGTCCAACGCCTTACTGTAGGAATAAATGCCAGTTTGTGTCCTTAGTGACACTAATGAATTTCATAATATCATATTAGCAACTTAGTTACTAAATTATAGAAAGCTCCAAATAAAATGCTGTCTTAATTCTTGACGCTGAAAACTCAAAGAAAATTATTCTCATGGACAGGCGTAATAGTCTTATGAAATAACACAAAGGTTTAGAGAAATTTTCAAAGAAAGTTCAAGAGGTAGGACAATTAATATGTTTGGATCATATTAGATGGTGCAGATTCTAAAGGAAGAAATATAATCAAGAATGAAGCTAGAATAATGTAAATGCTTCTTTCACATGAAATTGCACAGTATAATGACACAAAGACACTCAAAAATACCATAAGAATAAAAGTGATACATTCCTATGTTGTAATGTATAAAAAAACCAGTGTTATTCTCCTAGAATAAACACAGCTCTCTGATACATTTCTGTTTTGTACTTAATCTGTTGCTGATTTTGCTTCCCTGGTCACAAAGTATATGGGTTTAAAGTTTTATACAGTTGAAACCTTGTTCCTCTTTTTTGAAAACACAAACTTAAATTGAAAATTGTTCCTTCCTCCTTTTTAAATATAAACTTGCTTTAAAAAAAGAAAAAAAAAAAAGAATGGCAGAACTCTTCTAAGAAATCAGCTGCTTCTAAAGAGTTTCTGTGAGCGGTTCTCACGGGGTGTTCACACTGGTGACTTTTGGCAATGGCTGTCGCCATTCTCCACAGTCTCAGGCAGCTAGCTTCTGTTCCGTGAGTGGAGCTAGGGATGTTACCCCGTGCACAGGCTATCTCTCAAACAATGACATTATCCAAAATGAAAGTGTTGATGCAACAATATATGAGGACTTTTTTAAAAGAGTTATTTATGTTTATTGGAAAGTCATATTTACAGAGAAAAGAGTCAGTGAGAATGATCTTCCATCCACTGGCTGACTCCCCACAAAGGCTGGAGCTGAGCAGATTCAAAGACAAAAGCCAGGAACCTCTTCTGGGTATCACATGGGTACAAGCTCCCAAGGCCTTGGTTCATCCTCTACTGCTTTTCCAGGCCACAGGCAGGGAGCTGGTTGGAAATGCAGCAGCCAGGACATGAACACATGCTCATATGGGATCTTGGTGCATAGAAGGCAAGGACTTTAGCCACTAGACTATCACACTGGGCCCACAAATATATTTTTTAAACATACAGGAATATTTCAATTTCTCTTCATCTTGCAGAGATTTCGATAAGTCAGGTTCCTTGAAGAAGTGTCTTTTATCTAATGTGCTCCACAAATGTGCATGTCTTTCCTGTGCAGGGGCTTTGCTACTCTTCTCTGCATCATTCCCGTTTTACTGCAGGTGCTTCCAAAGCTCAATTTACATGAAATGCAGAAAATAACCCTTGGAGACACAAAATGCCAACCAACATCTTCCTCTTTGGCATCAAAAGGTAGTCTGCCTATTGTTTTGGGGTGGATTATGTACATGAAACAATTTGTCTCTAAATAAAATGTGGACTACACCGCACCATTATCAGTAATTCCAGGAAATTTAAGTGAGCTTTGTTTGAAATGCAAGCGTGCTAAACTGCAATTTGTATAGCCAGTGGTAGACACAGATGTTGTAAACAATATTTTACAAAACGGAGAAGTTCCATTCCAAATGTGGAATCCTTTGAAAAGGAACTCTCTTCACACCCTATAGCACTCATGTACTGATGAATATCACATAAATAAATGTGGATTGTGTATCATTCTTTTCTCATTCGAATGGGAACTGGTAAACCGTTTGAAGGCATGCGGTATTGGTATACATGAATTCTTCAGTGCGCATTCCCAACTTAACATGGGAGAACGCAGAAGAAGAATACACGGGCACTTTATTTGCATTTCTGGGAAATTTGGAAGGGGGAAAGTGGGATTGGGATCCTAGCAATATGACTGCAACAAAGATGCTAAAAAGAAGGTTAATCTTTATGCCAGCAACAGTTAGGTCTTTAGTAGTGGACAGATAGTATTTTTAATTTAATTTATCCCAGATGTGAGCTCAGTAGCGTAACCTAGATTGTATATCATCTAGTATGTACCAAATTACTATACAGAGCCCAGGTTAAAATCAATGACATTTATAGGTAAAGGTAAGTGTGCATACAGAAACAGATAGCATATGTTTGAATGTGGTTATCATAATAGAAAAAAAAAATCAGCAGGTCAAGAGTAAGGATATCTGAAGACACAGGTTGTGACACAAGATTACATGTCTTATTTGGGATTATTCTGTTCCTCCTAAAGGTGAGCATTAACAACTTTCAACACATCTAGAATTTGTCAATAATCACAAGAAAGTTTATTAGAAGGTAGTTTAGGGCCCAGCGCGGTGGCACAAGTGGTTAAGGTCCTTGCCTTGTACACCCCAGGATCCCATATGGGCGCCGGTTCTATCCCGGAAGCCCCGCTTCCCTTCCAGCTCCCTGCTTTTGGTCCGGGAAGGCAGTCGAGGACGGCCCAAAGCTTTGGGACCCTGCACTCGCATGTGGGATGCCCGGAAGAACTTCCTGGATCCTGGCTTCGGACCAGCATAGCATCGGCCATTGCGCTCACTTGGGGAGTGAATCATCGGAGGGAAGATCTTCCTCTCTGTCTCTCCTTTCTGTATATCTGCCTTTCCAATAACAAAAAAATACTACTAATAATAAAAATAAATCTTTAAAAAAATTTAAAAAAAGAAGGTAGTTTAATATATGGTAGTCATTTTCACTCCAACTAGCATAGCACTAGTGTTTCCTCAGGATTGTTCAATTTTACACCTTCAGTTAAGCTTTTCAGCTACTATAATTATGCTTCACTTCCAATACTTTATTTTTTTAAGTTAAAATGGCTTTGATAGATTATAAATGGATTTTTTTTCATTTACTGTTGTTTGAATAAAAATTTTAGTCACTGGTCTTTAATATCATATGAATTAAACTTATTTTATTAGAAAGCCTGATATTCCAGTATTTTAGACCTTTCTTCACTTGATTTTTTGCCTATTTTAACTAATTATTTCCTGTTTTTGAACTTAATGTTTGTGTCAGTGATTTTTTCATGGAAATACATATATGTAAACAAATCTAGGAAAAATTAAAATTGTATTTTCTACCAAGTTCTTAGGAGTATAGACATGCCAGAGCATTTTCAAACTAAATTTCTGCCTGGAGATTTGCAGGTTACAGAGGTTGCATTTGTACAAACTCGAAACCAAAAAACGTACACTCTTATGGAAGGATATTTTCTCACAAGAGATATAAAAACCACACTTGTAGATAAATTCTAGAAGGGTTGTTAGAATTGTCAGATTGATGAAAACTGCATTATCTACTCTTGACCCAGCATCATCCGTACGTCTCTGATTAGCGTCCACTGACTCATTCAAAATTTGATTGGAAATTGATCTTTGCCTTGTATTCTCAACTCTTTAGTATCTTAAGGAGTATTCGTTCAACATAATAAATGCTAACACTGCTCTGAAGACAAAATCTCAATTTCCATAAATTATTATAATCTTGTTCCATCATTGCAGCATTAAAATATTGTTATGTTTAAAATATTAAATATCAATATGCTTATTCAAGATTTAAGAATTATTTTAGAGATGAGATAAGTTGAGGTTTCTCATCTACATTATTTGCAGAAAAATATGAAGATCACATTTAAAAATAGGAATACTTGCACATTAAGGGATCAATAAAATGGGGATGGAATTTTAGCATTTACACTTTAAATGTATTAGCATAAGAGGCCATAAAACTTAAATTTTTCTCCAGGGAATTCAGATAATTTCTTTCTGGATCGTGAATGAATATGGTATTTTTTAGCTTTTACTGTGATGCAATATTGTAAATATTGATCTACCATTTAACTCAGGTAGCTGATATTTAAAATATATATATATGCACACATACATACAATGATACACATTCAAAAATATAAATAATTTTGTTTGATACCATTTTACTAATTTTGAATATTCCATGTTCCCTATTTGCTATCCTGAATTAACTTTATTGTATTGTAATAGAAGATTCAAAATGATAGCTAAAATATTACTATTAATCTTAACTATCTGCTGGATCAGAAATTACTTAAGCATAAATATCAACTTCATAGTACAGATTGAGGTCTTATGAATCTGTTTTGAAAAATGTATACCTTTCCTTAGCTTTTATGTCATAACATATTCAGAGTAGAAGTAAAAATATAGTAGTCAATTTCTCATTTTAAAGATTCATTTCTTATATACTGTGCATTTTGTATTATAAATCTAAAACATTTAAAGGAAGTTCCTGAAAGATACGATTAAAGGGAGATCATGATTAATTATACCCTCATTTCATCAACTTACCCAAATACACTTACTGTTTGTTACAAAAATGATTGTAATTGGTACACACTCTTTAGTGAGTTGGCACAGAATTTCCCATTATTTTCAATCTGCCAACTTCAATATGATTTATGTTTAAATATGTAAATATAAAGGTTGATCTGTGATAGTAAGGATTTTCAAATCCAAATTGTTCTTCCTGGCAAATGTGATTCCTCTGACAATTTTGGAGTCTCTTCTATTTGCCCCCTATTATCAACAGGGACATGTTCCTCTCGTTTCTCACTAATCATTCCTGACAAGCACTTGGCAAGCATGACTGTGAAGGGCTGTGCCTGGGGTTCTAGGTCATTCCCACTCGTCAGGAAGAAAGCACACGGGATCCTCAAGAACACACGCCCTTCAAGAGAGGGAAAGGACACTGCTTCATAGTGACCATCTGAGACTTTTCAGCCTTATTAGCCTATCTCTTGTGATAATATTTAAATGTTTAATGCTGTCAAATATCTGATTTTAATTAACAGCTATTTCTATTTGTATGTTTTTTTTCCTTCTGCCAAGAAATGCAACAATCTTGTTTTAAATCGCATTCTTATATCATGTATAGCATGAGTCAGGTTCAGTTTTAAAAACAATCCTGCTCATGATACCAATAAAATAACTGTATTAAAAAACATGGCAGCAATAGAGCTTCTGTGACTTCATCCTTGTGTTTACTTGTGTGTTTGTGTCTTTTCAGAAAAGGATACAATAACATTTAATAACTTGAAAGTAAACTATAATTAAATCTCATAAAAATAAATAAAGCTGTTCAATTTCCTAGTTAGTTGAAATATTTGACATCTTAACCTTTTTTTTTTTAAGATGTATTTTATTTTTATTGCAAAGTTAGATATACAGAGAGGAGGAGAGACAGAGAGGAAGATTTTTTCATTCGATGATTCACTCCCCAGTGACCTCAACAGCCGGAGCTGAGCCGATCCGAAGCTAGGATCCAGGATCTTCCTCCAGGTCTCCCATGCAAATGCAGGGTCCCAAGGGTTTGGGCCGTCCTTGACTGCTTTCCCATGCCACAGGCAGGGAACTGGATGAGAAGTGGATTTGTCAGGATTAGAGCTGGTGTCCATATAGGATCCTGGCGTATTCAAGGCACGGACTTTAGCTGCTAGGCCATTGCACCAGGCCCAACATATTAACTTTTGATGATCATTGTATCACATAATGGAAAGTCCACCCTGTGCTCCCAGCTTAAATAACAATAATAATTAAAGATAAAATAAGTATGTGCCATTTTAAATTCATGTTATTTTTGTTTTTATATTCATTCAAAGAATTTGATAGTATATACTACCATTTGAATGTTGATTTTACACCAGAATTCATGTCCAAAGCTCAATGCAATGATTTGTCCTTTTAGCTATGTGAGTGTAAATCATTCCAAGTGTCGTTTTGTGGCAGAAAAAATGCTCTTAACCTATTTTACACTCATCAGTATCTGGAATATATGGTCCCACTACAAGAACTGACAGAGAGGTGCACAACCTGAACGCCCTGCGCTATCCTGCAATGCTTTATCATGCTTTGAGCAAAGAGCTGTAAAGGAAATGGAGCAGCTGGCACATGAACCAGCACCAGTGAGGGATGCTGGCACCAGAGGGCATTGTATTAACTTATGGCACTGCTCTGGCCAGGAGAGCCAGTACCATGGACAGGGAGAGTGTCTGGGGATGAAGCACCAACAGGAGGACAGGAGACCAGTAATGGTGGAAGTCTCTCCGAAGCCTCTCTTTATTACTCCTTTTATACTCTTTTCCCCAAGTCCTTTAGCCAACCAATAGGATGCCAATGGGTCCCATTAGTCCAGGTGCTTTTAGGCAAAAGCCCTTTTCCTGTTACTGCTCAGCTTAACCAGTGCTAATTAACTATAACCTTATCCCACAACATGGCACCACTGTCCCAACTCCCGAAATTTAGATTCTTTATTAATTAGCTACTATCAAGTATTTCCAGCC